AGGACTCAATAGGTGGATAAAAATGCCAAATCCAGTCTAAACAACTGGATGACTGTGCAACAAACAATAATAATGTATAAATAATATGTAATAATAATGCTAAATTATTTCTGCTGTTATTAATTTTAAATGTTATTTCTGGTACTGGGACAACCGAAACACTTTGAAGATGCAACATAATTTTATTTGCATGCATACAAGCACTAATACAGTATATACTGGACCCCCAGCAAAGCTTTGATACTCTGCTGAGCAGCCACCAGCAAAAGCAGAGCCAGGGCCTGCTTATATGCCTTTGGCCCATTACATTGCGAGGCAAAGAAAGGCAAAGGCAAAACAAACAAACAAAGAGGCAGACCCAGTGGAAATTACAGCGTGGTGTTGGAATATTTTAGATAAACCATCCACGTGACCTTATTATTATTTATCCCTTCTTACTAAGTCAGCATGCTACCTATACTCTATCTGAGAGATGGTGAGTGAATATAAACAATTTGGTTTACTGAGCCACAGGTTCCTGAATGAGTCTTCTCCCTGTTGCCACTCAGGGTCACTTCAGCTTGCCGTAAATGTCTTACAAGGGCACTTTAAGGAGTTCGTGTGTATGGGGGGGGGCATCTCATAGGTTTGGTAGTGAATGCAGTTTACATGTGTACGGGTGAGGTACCTTTTACCACCACATTCCCTCATATTCCCCCAACACATATTAGTTTATTGGTTTTATTTTGGACATATTAATTATAATGGTTATTTCACCATCTGAAGGTGCCCAGAATATTTTGATGAGAAAGGCAATAGATTCCTGCTGTACTGAATATATTTGTGGGGGGCAAGGGAGAGTTAGATTGCTGCCATTTCGGCTCTGTGGAAAACTTTATTCCACATCAGTTTGCTATTTTTGAACTCTTTACACTATTTAAAATGCAGAGAACTGTGACTCCCAATATGCCTTTTTTATAATTTTTATATTCACTTACTTATCCATATTTCACATTTCTAAATATGGGCATTGTATCTATATTCTTGTTTAACAGCAAGCATCTTGACTTCAAAATACCGAGCATTATCATATAAGCATCTCAGTGTTGCATTATTTTTCAAATATCTGAGTATATACATTTTTATTGTTACCCCAGTCCATGGTGGCTCTGTCCACCCACTGCCCTTGAAGAAGAAACCCAAGAGAAGCATATGTTCTTCTTGCCTGAAAGAGCTTTAGCTATCAGCTCTCATCTTTCTTTCTCACTGCTAATAAACCATCCAAAAATTCACACATTGGTGTGTTACATTTGAGATCTTGTCTGATGCCACTGCCATTGAAGTACAGCCCGTTCTTTTTGTTCAGTATCCAGCAAATTCCAATCCTGCTTCCAACATCTTTTCCATATATTGTGGGCCTTTATATCCGTCTCTCTATCTGACCCTTTATGTGGAAACCTGAATTACTTAACACAAAGGGATCCCAAGGCTGGCTATGTCTCTTAGAAATTTGGGAGTAATTTATAGACACCTTCTAAGGTTGTAAGAAATGGCATTTTTTAATGTGTCAGAAAAGAAAAAAATTAAAAAACATAGAGTATTTTGTGTCCTGGCTTTAGCCACTATTATTTAGATGTCAGACCTAAGCGATCTATTCAAAAAGATGACATGGAAAACAAATGTGAATCACTAACAATAGTTTATCTATTTGAAGATTCATACCTATAACCTTCATGTAATTCCAAGGAGTTATGAAATAGTCAGCTTATCCATCTAGGTCATATTTCTTTATTGCTATTGATTGAGTCTCACAGCCAAACAAACCTTTCACGTCTGTGCTTTTTAAACAACTTTTGCTCATGAGTGAAATCTGCTTGTAATTAAATACTTTGCTTCCTATGCTTGAAGAAAATAAACTATTTTCTCTTGGGGGCAGTGGTAATATGTTTGCATAATAAGGTTATATATTTCTGTAGTTGAAGTGCAAGAAAATTGGGTAGAAGGATGACAGTAAAATGTATAGCAGTAGTTTCCACCAGTGCTTCTATATGCTGAATAATGTGCCTAATGAAATTCATTATCTACAAAGTGTCATGAATACATGTTAAGGAAATATGATGCTGTTATATCAAATTCTAGTCTTTACTCTTACAGCACATACCAGAATATATTATTTCAATAACTAAATTATTTTGAAACTTTTTATGATTTACTTTCCAATAACCTGTAGATTTAGGGAAGTTCAATAAAACTTTACATACTTCGATGAATCCTATTCTAGTGAGAAACCCTCCCCCCTCACTAGGAATTTTTGATGATAATGTAGCCGTGCAGTGAAAATAAGATTTTCCCATTGCTACTGAGAAAATTACAGAATGGTTAAAATTATTCTATTGCATATGATTATTATCTTCATTCTGGAGTGTAAGAACACATGTGAAATGCTGCAGCAGATTATTAATGTCTAAATACCACAGAATTTCTTTTACATGCAGTAGGCTTTGAATACGTTTGAATATGTTTTGAATAAACATAGAATAATAACGTCACATTTTACTAGACAGATGTACAGCTAATTTTTCAGCAGAATTTATTTTATTATTCAAATTTATATAGCTGCCCATCTTATATATATTATTCTTACCATAGTACTGAAACTTGCCAGTGTAGATAGCTGGCAATACTGTGAGCTGGTTGAGAATAATCTGCTTTTTCTATATCAGTATTTTTGATACCAATGAATTCTCACAAGAAAAGCCATCCGTTGTTAATTCTGCCCTACTTTCTGTAAATTAACAGAGAATAATGCAGAATACGGATTCTCTACAATTTTTAAAAAAGAAAAGTTGCTTTAGATTAGAAATGTGTGTGTGTGTGTGTGCTTTTCCCCTGTCCAATATTTCTCCAATTCAGTGTATTTCCCCACAGATGTGTTTTAACATATACTTCTTCTCAGAATAATTTTGAGATGATAATTGCATAGGATAATTTGGCAGGTCACATAATTTAAGTTTTGATTCTCACGTTAGTCCAGGATGGGATTAATTTGTATCAGAATTCACAAAAATCAAAATAGTACTTTTCCTTATGAATTTAATATGAATTATTCTGTTTAATTTCATCCTGTTTTTTTTTTTTCTCTGCAGGTTAATAATGAGAATGTAGTCAAGGTTGGCCATAGGCAGGTGGTGAACATGATCCGACAAGGAGGCAATCACTTAGTTCTTAAAGTTGTCACAGTAACCAGAAATCTAGATCCGGATGACACAGCCAGAAAGAAAGGTACTGTCTTTTCGTTATTTTAACTGTCTCAGATGCTTCTTCATAAAAAGAAACTGGTATGCCATTCCATTTTCTGATATTCAGGATATCTTTAATTAAAGGAAAAGATAAATGTCCAAATTCAAGAATGCAAGGGTTCTTTTAAAATAGATTCCCAGTGACATGAGCACTGGGACTTCTGATGTTATCCAGTGCTCCTGAAGTGTCTGTGTGTGTGTGTGTGCAATAACTGGGTGGAGGGGTCTAATTTTATAATTTGTTCCCACTTGATTAGTCTCCTTCTCCTGCAAGGTGCTATTCCACTCTGTATGAATGAAACAATTTATACACTTTGCCAGGATGGATATGAAATTGTTCCACAAGGAAGTAATTCCAACAGTGCTAAATATCTTTCTGAAAGACAAAAGAGGGTTAATACATTTATGTCTGAATCCAATTATGTTTTGTTGTAATCTATCAAAAACATGTGTTAATACATTTTCATGTACATGCTTCGCTACACTAATGGCCATCCCTATTGTTTTGCAAAATGTGGGAGCAGATTTTCTGGGTCTCATGAAAGATGTTTCATGGTATATAAAGGCATTATGCATCTTTTTATGTCTTTTTCTTATTAATACAACTAACTTGCAGTTTTCTCACTGCTGTGAAATACACATGTGTGTTACCATCCTTACATGATACTTGCTTTTATAGTTGTATGTTGCCAGTCATGTTTTAAATCATGCGCATACCTTTATAAAGGAATAACTAGTCTTAATAATAAACGAAATTTGATTTATTGGGAGTTTTCTATTTAATCAACGTATGATATCACTGTATGTAGTAGTAGTAGTCATAAACTAATATGAACAATGAGCTGGAAATGGCATGTTTTCAAGCTAGAATAAAGCTGGAGCTCTTATGTTGGGCTGTCTTCCAACATTGTTTATTGATTGATTATGGAGGTGGCAATATTAAAAAATAGCATGTCAACACTAATTCCTATTATTTTCTGCCAAGGTGTTGGCACTTTCCCTCCTTTTTCTAAGCCTTTTCCACTTTCATTTCTCAGAGTTAGTGGTGATGGTAATTTGGTGTTTGTGTTTTTGAAAATGATTATAAGGAAATCCTGCAGCCAACTACCATGCATTTTTGGCAGTTGACTCTTGGTTAGTGGCTTTTATTTGTTCTTTACCTTTTCCATGTAGTTTGTGATTTATTGATCTGAATTTATGTTACAAATATACCTGGTCAGAATTGTAGTTCACTGTCTACTCTTAGGAGCAGAGTTAAATGTAGGAATGGAATGTGCAGGATTCATTAAGCCTATAAATCTCTTATTTTCCACATGGTTGCCAGTTTTATATATGTGAGCTTCAATAACACAAAGCCTTCTTGTGATAACCCAATTTTGGCAATATAGTAGAAAATCAGCATGCTATGCTTATGATGATACATTTTTATCTCATAATTCTGGAATGATATAAAACTAAGAGCTCAGCATAGCAAATGTATGGTTTAAAAATTCAAGTACAGTACACTTTTTGCCTAGCCAGAAAGTAATACCCTTGTTTTGCAGGCTGTCAAGTCTAAGATGTCTAATTCAAACTTTCATTGAGCAAAATTAGTATCGCTTTTTTTCTCCTTTCATTTTGATTTAAGTTAAAAATGATATGCTATGACATTTCAGATATATAGGAGCAACGCTATAGAAGCGTCATTGTCTGGTTCTTTTTGTCTCCCCCCATTTCCGTTCAGATCAACTTATTAGATAGTTTTCAGATACCTTTCTGCTGCCAAATAAACTGCTGATGTGATGCTCCACATGTGATACAGAAATAAGAGCTTTCAAGATTCAGTATGCTTGCATTTTTTTTTAAATAAAAGATACGATACGGAAATGCGTTGTATTTTTCATCTGTGAACATTTCTGTATGTCGCTCATAAATATCACTAGAGATCAGTCAATTTTATCTTTGGGGCATTGAGGCAAGCGGTTTAATTTTCATTGAAATAGCAATGTAATTTTGGATTGAATCTGAACATTGTATTCTGAAGTATTCTTACTTATTATCTATATCCTTCTGTTTAATGCAAAGCCCCACCACCTCCAAAACGGGCTCCAACCACTGCACTGACCTTGCGGTCTAAGTCAATGACCTCAGAGCTTGAAGAGCTTGGTAAGAAAGTGTTTTTAAAGAGCATGCTGCAATAATGGAAATGTAAAGACAATATTATATTGTTTGAAAGTGAACTGCACCTTGTACTGAACATTGGATTGAAATGATTACATGGGAATGTTGCATTTCTGGAAATCCCAAGTTTGCATGATGAGCATGAATAATCCTACTTTGTTTCCAGCTCTGCAAGAGAATGTATTTATCATTCATATGCATCATCATTTTAAACATTAAATAAAATTGTTGCTTATGTTATTGTCTTTTTGAGTAATCAGTTCCTCTAATATTTTTTTATTTTGAATTTCTGTGGCCTCTCATTAGTGGATAAAGGTAAGATATTAGTCCTTGTTGATAAAAAGCTGACAAAAAATAAAACTTTGTAACTGTAAGGCAGATAGCTCCCATTGGAGTTCTTTGCCTTGATCCCCTAAAGCAATCAGTAGATGGAAGCAGATTTCTGCTATCAGAGCTCCTCAATCAGCAGTTCAAAGCCCATTTGAAGGTTATGCACACACCTAACAAGAGATTGTCAGCGTTATCATCTCTGGCAGTCCCAATTGCTTGTAAGATAGAAGAAGGGGAAATTGCTTTATGAATTTGTTTTTTTAGTGCCTTCCCCCTCTGCTGATCATTTAATAACTAACAGAGTAGAACATCCATTAGGCAAAGGGACAGGATCCTTCCAGGAATGCAGCAACTGGTACACTTCCTATCATTATTCTTCTGGATCTGAACCAATCATAATTGCTTACTTATTACTAAAACTTTGAGGAATTTGCATGAGCAAGAAAAAGTGTTCCTTTTTGAAGTTTTTTTTCAGTTTTTAATAATTGCATGGTAATTGGTTTAGTTGTCCTAGTTATGAAATACTATGAACGTAATTGACTAAATGGTTAATTCCTAATAACTTCCTTCAGTATCTTGATCTCTCTTACTAGTCAAATAATTGGGAAAAAAATCTCTTAATATAAGCATATATAAATTAAACAACTACAGTTTTTGTATTGTCAAAGGCTTTCACGGCCGGCATACGATGGCTGGTGTGGGTCTTCCGGGC